CCGCCCACTCAAAATGTCGTTTTCCCCCGAGAACTTTTCGGTTGTACTCAACTTTACTGGTACTTCACGGCAGTAACCCTTTCGTTTTTTTGACCAGTAGGTTCAATCCCGCACGCGGGAATTTTGACTTCCGAGCCCCTTTAGGGCCTACCTTTATTAAACTTACCTGAAACATTTTAATGAATCAAAAAGAATCCAAGCCCGAGTAAATGATAATTAGCCCTGGCTTAAACCACAGCACAAGTTCAAGAATTGAAACATCTACTTTTCCAACAATTTGGGAACTCGGTTCTGATTTCACAGCATGGCCCTGAAATTCACGAAGAATATCGACTGGGTCAGTTTTACTGAATTTCGACATCGCCAAAAAGAGGTATTATCTCGGAGGAGAACAACCGCACACTTTCCGAAATTGAAACATTTGCTTCTTCCGATAATTTAGAAATTTGTATCCGTGCAATAATTCGCGCCAATCACTTCTATTCTTGTTCTTTTCTTACCGTAATCGGTTTGTGGAAAATACCAGCCAATTTCGAGGTGAGCTAATCTATCAAAATGAGCCAGGGAAAACAAGTGTTCGTGCTTCGGAAGGTGAGAAATTGAGGGGGAGCAACACCCGGAACGAGGATGAGGCTGAGAGGATTGGGGGAGAGATACGTAAAAACTCACTCTCTCTCTCTATCTCTCTCGATTTTTGATTCTATTCGAGATCAATGCGCAAAAATACCCCAAATTTAGTTGCAAAAATATGTTCCGTAAAATCACAATTGTTCAAGCTTAGCTGGATAATTGATCCCCCAAGCGATTTACCGTCTTCCTTTTCTCGATGAATCTCTGCTAGCTGGCCCTTGCTCAAAAGCCAGGAAAATTTAATAAATGGAATACGGGGACTTCGTCAATTAAACAAACAATTTCGTTATTAACTTCTAAAAAAATCGAAACATTATTTTTAGATTGTCGGAAGGCTGGGAATCCGCAAAGAATCTCTGCTGTCTGGCCTTTCCGCCTGCATATTTTGATAGAATTACACTTCCCAGATGGTCTCTCTCTGCTAGCTGCTGGTAACGTCTCAAAATTTGGAACTCTCTCTGCTATTTCCTAAAGAAACTCTGCGAGCTAGCGTCAAGTAAATTGAACCCTGGAAAAATGCTAAAAAGCCAAAAAAAAACTACCGACAATGGCGATAATCGCACAAATATTGAGTTCGCTAACGACGCCAATTATCTAAATCGGCAAGACTCTGTGGTTATATAATTATGAAACTAACAATTGTCAAAGCCGAACCTTCTCCGAAAGGTTCTCTGCTAGCTGCCCCTGCCCGATTCCGCGAAAAAACACAATTTCTGCAAAGCATCGCTGCTAGTCTGCCTTCCTTAAAAAGGTTAGAAAATTTAATAAATGGAAAAAGGGTGGTTAGATTTTCAGGCTACCAGGAGAGCTATCGGCGAATTAAACTTACAATTTCGTCACCAATCCCCAAAAAAGTAGTAACATTATTTTTTTAAGGCCTCGAAAAGCTGTGAATCCGCAAAGAACCTCTGCTAGCTCGCTTTCCCGCCAGAATTACACTTCCCAAAGAGACTTCGCTAGCTACTAACAAGATTTGAACGTCCAGCGGGAAAGTAATTCCCAAGATTTCGTGCGGAAAAGCCTACCGATCATTAACTCAAAACTATTTGTCTCTTCGGCTTTTCGAGCCGAAACATTTTTCCATCAATAATTTGTAAAGATTGCTTCTATCTTTATGCGACATAAACCCTGCTATTTCGAAAGAATCTCTGCTAGTTTGTCTAACAGCAAATCTCTCTAGCTTGCCACCGCCAGAACGTCATTTCAATTTGCAAGTTCATAGAATGCATCGAGAATACCTCAAAACAGTATCTAACTAACCCCGATTTCACATTAATTGTTTCGGAGCCTTCAACATTTTTTGAAAATTCAGGCATTTCCAAAATCCCTGCTTGATGCCTTCTTGCTGCCCTGATTTGATCAGATGATTCTATCCTTGTTGTTTTTTTGATCGTTCTCCCAAATGGTGATTAACTTTCTCGAGAACGAATTGCTGATCAGGACAATCAAGAGCAAAGCGACACCTTCAAAACACGAAACTTCATTTCCCAACAATTCAAATTACCTACCTAAAAAATCTAATTTTTTTAGGGCTGCATTGGCGTTTTTAGTGACGTTTTCATTGACGTGATGTTACGTGCTAATCCGCGCTATTTTCCCAAATAATTTCTGCTGCTTTACGAAAGAGTCATAAGCGAAGCCAATTAGCGCCGCAGCGAACACGGCAACCTGTTCAAACACTGAAACATATTTTTTTCCAAATCTGCGTCCGATTCCAAATTTTCAGATGATCTCTGCTAACTGCCCTAATTTGACGCCTCAGCCCGTTTTATAGTTACTCTTTTCTATGACTTCTTTTTTCCAAAGTTGTTGCCGCTGCTTGCCGCTCAGTATTGAAACAGCATAGAACAAGTGTTGCTGCCCAAAAGGTGAAACATTTATTTCACGACAATTCCGGAGAATTTTTAATATCCTGAATGATCGCGTCTACGCCTCTCAGCAACGATTCGGAATTCCTAGTGTATATATTTTGAGTTTTCCCAAATGATCTCTGCTAATTTTCTCAATAAAACTATGCAAAGGCTGTAAAATGGGGACATCAAACGACAACCGAATTATTATCAAATCCGAAACATGTTTTATCTCGTTTTTAAAAGTGTCTCCAATGCTTAATCCTCGCGATTTTCCCAAATGCTCGCTGCTAGCAACCCATGATGAAAATCCTTTTCTTTTTTTTCTACGTCCAATAGCCCAACAAAAAACAAGAGCACACATTTCAAAGCCGAAACATATTTTCCTCAAAGTCCGAGTCCAATTCTAAATGTATAAAATGATCTCTGCTAGCCTTGCCGGTAAAATGTGTCCCCATGCTAATTTGGGCAGCCAGCAAGAAGTAAACTCCTTCCAGAGGTGAAACTCATTTTCTCAAAGAAGGAGAGGGAAAGAGAGAGAAAGAGAGAAAGAGAGAGCGAGAGAGAAAGAGAGAGAGAGAGAGCGAGAGAGAGAAAGAGGGTGAGAGAGAGAGACTTTTTCACGTTCTTTGTAGAAACTACCAGCCCATTTAGAGGTGGGCTAATCCATCAAAAGGATGAGGGAAAACAAGTGTTCTTGCTTCGGAAGGTGAGGAATTGAGGGGGAGCAACACCCGGAACGAGGATGAGATTGAGAGGATTGGGGGAGAACAACATCTCTCTTTCTTTCTCTCTCTCTCTCTCTCTCTCTCTCTCTCTCTCTCTCTCTCTCTCTCTCTCTCTCTCTTTTTTCTCTCTCTCTCTCTCCTCTTTCTCTCTCTCTCTCTCCTCTCTCTCTCTCTCTCCTAAATGATCTCGGCTAGAAAACACTACGTGAACAAAACCATACGGGCGGAATGGTGAAGGAAAAGGGGAACCAAAAATTAATAAAACAAATAAAAATAGTCTTCGCAAATGCTCTCTGCTCGATTGCCCGATCCAGAGAAATTCCAGAGAGGAATCCATAAGGAATTCTCCAATAATCTCCGCTAGGCTTGGTAGATGATCCAACTAAAGGGTATGTTTCAAAAGTCTGTAGGGTGAACCGGGAAAATTTAGCTGTAATATGAGATCGTTCAGAGTTGCTTAAAATTCTATATTTTGGGGCTAAATCAAGAAAAGCTTCTACTACCTGCCATCTGCAAGCCGAAAAAAATGAGTTTCAAATTGTTTTCGAACAATAAAAAAATAGGTTTCGGTTTACCGTAAAAAATCTGTCCACCGTTTTATCCCCGAATTCTGCAAATTTATAGACTTTTCGAAGAGTCGTTTGAAAATTAATGGCTTCAATTCAATGGAAAATCGTATGGTAGTTGTGGTTTATACATTAACCAGGCTTGTTCATTTCAATAAAAAAATGTTTCCGAGCTTCCCGGCGTAAAATGGATGGAAAATTGGCAAGTGCAACTTGATTTCCGATTTCCGGTGTATCTTTTCCGATAAATAAATACTTTTCTGCTATCGTTTTTGCATTAACTGAGCTTGTTCATTGCAATAAAAAATGTTTCCAATTTTTCCAGCATAACAATCGAATGGAAAACAGTAATTTCGTAAGCACTTCCAATGCCAAAAGCTATAAATTCCAACCAATAAATCCTTTTCGTCTATAGTTTTGCCTTTTCGTGTATTTGAAGAGTTTACCATGGTTTTTCATGATTTTATAAGTTTTTTTTCGGGGCCTGAATTTCCTGGCGTAAGCGGTTCTTTAGAGCGCGCGCGGCTGGGCGATTCAAAAAAGGCCTCAAATTCGCCCCAGAATCGGATGGTTTTGGCAAGTTCTAAAGTATATTTTGTGTGTTTTATGCGAAAATGGAGTTTATAGTTTGTGGCTCATGTTATTAATCCTTTTTTACTGCGTCGAACTTTCTTAAAATTCTTTGTCGTAGCGATTTTTTCGCTTCAAGTTGTCCGACGGTTTTGTTGGCGGCCTTCTAAAGTTTATTTCGCGTGTTTGAGTTGAACATGGAGTTTATAGTTTGTAGCTGGTTGTAGTTTATCCATATTTTGCTTCTCGGAAACCTTATTCATGCATTTGTTATAGAAATTATTTTAGCTTTCGGAAATTTTCCTGTGTTTCAGCCAAAAATCAAGTTGATAGCGAGTGGCCCATCTTATTTCTTCTGTTTTTGCTCGTCTAAACCTTTTTTTGAAGCATTTCTTGTAGAAATTATTTTAACTATCTGCAATTTCAGGTCTTACAAGGTGCTCGGTTTTATTTTTATTTTTATGTGTTTCATCAAAAATTGAAGTTGATCGGTTGTAGCGGGTGGGAATTCGACGTCCTTTTCCGTCTAAAACTTTGTTGTAGCTTTGTTGAAATTATTTGCACGTTCCTTATTTTGAAGGTTTTGCTTACTTACTTTTGCATTTATTACTTACTTATTACTTATTTTATACTTTTTCAGGCCCCCTCCAGCCCAAATGGCGATCGACCTGGAGGACGTGCGCCGGATCGAAGAAGCCGTTCTCCAAGTATGCTGTTTTATCTTTTTTTTAACCTGTTTTCTTCAGGTCCGCCTAAACGAGGGCGTGCTCGGCGACCGCGAGCTCGACGCCTCGGAACCAAGTGAGTTTTTTTTCATAAAAACGTCTATAAACCCTAGATTTTATAAAGGAAAGTTCTTCCGCGCGTTTTGCTGCAGTTTTCTGTTTATTTTGAGTTCATTATCCTTTAAAAACCCTAGTTCTATGGAAATTTCTGTCAATTAGCGGAAAATCTAATGTTTCTGAAGTTATTTTCATTAATTGTTTGGCAATACAGGTTAGTCAAAGGTGGCGATTCTTACTAACGAAATTTTCGTCCGTTGATTTGCCATTTTCGTCTATGGTGAACAAAATGTCCTGTTTTTTTAAAGTGTTTCCGAGGCCTTTCGGTTAAACTTGAATGGATTTTTACCTGTTTGCACAAACAAAAAAGTTAGAAAACAGTGTACTTTTCCGAATTTATGTCGTTTGCAATCCCATCCAAGGTTTGGTCGAGCAAAACTTTGCTGTTAGCGCTTTCTAGGATCATAAAACTATAGTTTCATTTACGAAAATATAGCGAATTCTGCGTTTTGCAGTTTTTTATAGTGATTACGTTTTAATAACGTATTTTCTACAGGCTTGGCGTTAGTTTTGATAGGTTTCCATATTTTTCAGTAAGAACTGTTCCAAACTGATTAATTCTTTTCACAAAGTAATTCTAAGATTTTGCGAAATCGCATTAAAGTGTATTTTTTCAGATTTTGAGAGAATTTGATACGTTTATAGTTTTAAGTTTTTTAGTAAGCTCTTCTTGAAAATAAATGTTTCTTCTTAAAAAGTAGTTATTGGGTGTTAATGTGGCGTATTGGGTCGACATTTCTTCCTTTTTAGAGCTTTTGATGGGTTTTATAGCTTTTTAAGCTTTTTTCAAAAGAAACATTGACAATAAGTAATTTTGTTGACGCGGCTCTTCTAGGGTTTTACGAAATCGTAATAACTTTCTATTTTACGTGTTTTTAGAGCGGTCTGAGGTTTTTATAGTTTTTTTATGGCTTTGCAGTACTAAATTTTGCAAAATAAGTTTTTCTTCTTAGAAAGTAGTTACTAGGTGTTAATATGGCGTAATATGTCCTAATTTTTGGCCTTAATAGACCCTTTTTTCCAGCGATCACGCGCCTGAACGAGAAGATTGGCCGGCTGAGGCGACTGCTCGCCGAGAGCGCCGAAGTGAAGGCCGAGGTCGACGCCGCGCAGCAACGACTCCTAGAAGCGTATGGCCAACGACAGGTTCGGGGTTTTAGGATGAATTTTCCCTAGGAATCTCTGCTAGCTTGCCTCGTGCCTGAAAACCTGCCAACATCCGTCGTTTGCAAAATTTTTCTTTTAAAAAATATTCTGACGATGCCAGATCGGTAAACTCGATTTTTCTAGGTCATTTAAGTTAAGAGTGCTCCTAAAAATGCCATTAAATTTTTAGTTCTGGTTTTTTTTTGGAGTTTCTCGCCCGGTTTTCCCCTAGGAATCTCTGCTAGCTTGCCCGGGGCTCTGAGTAGAGACGGTGTTGATGCTAAATTATGACTGGCGAAAGCTGAAAACCCCAGGGCGGATTTGAACCTTAAATTTTCAAGGGATTGCTGAAATTTCGAGCTTTTTTATTTTGAAGGACGTTACCAAATTTGTACCCCTTTTTGCCATTAATTTTACTGTTTTTTTTTCAGGAGGACCTGGTCCCGCCCGCGCTCCCTGCCAAGCCCGACGCCAAGCAGGTCGACGACGGCTCGGCGCAAAAGCCGAAGCAGCACAGTGACGCCGGCGAAGAAGAGGTGATTTTTAAGTTTCCGTTTAAATTATTAAAACTCCTATTATCTAGAACAACGACCCGGCCGGCCCGAACTTCTTGGTGACGCCCGACGAGCTGGCGGCCGTGCCCTCCTACATGAAGGGCCGCCTCACCGTCGCCGATCTCAACGAAATTCTCACCACGTACGCTTTTTTATGTTTTTCAAACCTAAGCTGCTCCGGTCACTATTGGCAAAAATGCTGCGAAATTCAGGCATTTTCTTGAAACGCATTTTTTTCTATTCAATTTTTCATGGTGTTTCCTGATTTTTTGATAGCTTTAAAATGCTCGGCTTATTTTAAAGAATTTTTAATTGTTTAATGTCTGAGAGACAGCAAAACGATTTTTAGAAAATAGCGATTCTGGGGTCGATCTTCGAATGAAACAGTTTAGGCAGGCTAGCAGAGAATCCTGCGGATTCTGGAGGAAGATAGATAGGAGTTTTGCCTTTTCAATCCCTTTAAATGAATAAAATTTAGAAAATAATAAAATCTATAACGTTTTTTGTTTTCAGGATCGACACGATCTGCTGCGAGCGCGAGACGTTCCTCCACGCCCGCAACCTCAGCCAGGCCGACAAGATTCGACAGCGCGAGATGAGATCCGCGGTATTTTATTTTTTTGAAATTGATTGAATTCAATAGGCGCTTTTTAAAACCTTTATTTTAAGAATATAATAAAAAACTTAATTTTCAAACTTTTATTTCTTTTTAGAAAGAACCAAAGCTGGACGGGATGCGGTATGTGACGGAAGCCGAGCTGAGGGACAAGCTGCCGCCAAAGGTACTTTTTTTGAGGGCAGGCTAGCAGAGATCATTTGGGATGAGAGAGAGGGGGAGGGGGCAGGCTAGCACAATTTCTTTCAGAAATATTTATTTTGGTTTTCAGGCCAAGCTGGCGATGAAGTACGGGATGCAGTCGTTGCGCCACCTCGGCCGCTGCAAGGAGACGCTCATCACGCGCTGCAAGTACATCATCATCCTGTGGTGAATTTTAAGGCTTATTCCCCCCGTTACCTCACTTGTGCGGCTTTACCTGATTTTTCAAAAATAAATTATTGATTGTTCTTTTCCCCTCGATCTTTTACGCAATAATTGTCCTCTTCTTTCGCCTGTTTTAGTGTTTTATTTGTGCTCCTTTTTGCTCTCACTGTACACAGCATTCGCGTGGAATCCGCGGCATTCGGCTCTGAATAAATATGGGTTATTATATTTGGTTGATTTAATGGAAAGTAGAAGGAATCTACAACTGCTTTGGTCTCCAAATGTCTAAGAAAAATCGCGCAAAAGCTGGGGGGTTTTTGAAACATTCTTTTCGAACCGTTTCGTTAGCGTCTTTTGTGAGAAAGTTTTGGGCAAACTAGCAGAGAACCCTGGGGAAGATCAAAAATGATGAATTGAATTGAGAACGCTTCGGGTTTATATGAGGCAATGATTGTCAGACACTATTGTGATAAGAAAATAGACGAACTACGAAGATTTCTGAAACATTAATTTTTCGGCTTTTTGAGCGCTGGGCACGGGCAAGCTAGCAGAAACAATTTTGGATACGGCGGCAGAGAGAGAGAGAGAGAGAGAGAGAGAGAGAAACAGAGATAGGGAACATTTGAGCGGTTTTTCAAAAAAAAAACACCAGCCATATGGCGACATTGTTCACGAGGCGTTCAAATGCCAATTGGGCATCCAGGAAACCAAAAGAGTCCAGTATTTTTTTTACCGATTTTTATTTTCAGGCCATTTTAATGATAAATACTGCCGTGAGACACGTACTAATTTTCTGAAATTTTAATGTTTCGGAAAAATTGTGCTAGCGCGCCACAAGAGGCTGCCCTTAATTCGCCACCCGTACGTGCTCAGTATTTATCCATACTAAACATCTCGAATTTCCGGGTGAGAAAAACTTTTTCGTAGGGTCCATTTTGTGAAATCTTAATGAAGGCGTTCCCAACGGTTTTGCTCTTCCTAAACTAAAAACCAACAAATTTTGATTCAAATACGGAAATAGCAATTTTTCGGCCCACACCTAAAATTAAAATTAAAACGGAACTAAAGACTAAATGAATTTAATTCAACTAAATAACTTTCTTCACTGGGACTCACATTAACTTTTTGACCGAATTGGCCAAGTAGATATTTTTTGAAACACAGACATTTCTTTTCGGGAGGCCTGAAAATAAATTTAGGAAAGTTTTAGTGAAGGGGATGGCGAGAATGACCCTTTCAGAAAATGGAATTTAGGAAAGTTTAGAAAAAAAGCTAGCAGAGATCATTTGGGAATCCCCCTTTTCATCATTTCCCCATTTGGAGACATTTTTGGGGCCCCCTTTGGGCCCCCCAAAAATGCATGAAGATGGCCCCCGGGCGGCCATTTTCTCCTTCTGACAATCCATGCATGCATTACGAATTAAACGATGGGCCCTGTCCTCGCAAATGGCTTGGGGCCCATTTTTGGGCGCCAAGCTGTGGAAATACTCGCCCAAAAAACTATTCTGCAACAGGATTCCAGGATTCCAGGCATTGGCGATTTTTCGGGGCTGAAAAATGCTGGAAAAATGGGTCATCTTGCTGTTTTCGGTTCTAACGGTACTGCCAAACACGAGAGCCGAGACGCCAGGTAATTTTATGAGACATCACATTTTTTTGTTCTATTTTTTTTGTTGATTTTAAATGATTCGAAGCCTTCGAAAAACGGCACAATTAAGAAAAGGGCTTCGTATTTAATGGGATATTTTTCAGAAACATTTTTTCTTTCAGAAGATCGCTGCTTGGAGCCGGTCGATCAGGGACCTTGTCAGGACTTTCAGGTAGGAATTGTTGGGAAGAAGCAGACTAGCACAGATTGTTGAGGAATGCAAACAACGGTAGAGAGAGATAGAGGGAGAGAGAGAGAGAGAGAGAGGGATGAGAGAGAGGAGAGAGAGGGTGAGGGAGAGAGGGTGAGAGAGGGGAAAGAGAGAGAGAGAGAGAGAGGGAGAGTGAGAGGGGACAGAGAGAGCGAGAGAGAGAGAGGAGAGAGAGAAGAGAAAGAGAGAAGGGTTGAGAGATAGAGAGAGAGAGAGCGCGAGAGAGGGCAAACTAGCAGTGATTCTTTGGGAAAAATTCATGATTTTTTCAGATAAAATGGTTCTGGGATGAGGCGGACGGCCAGTGCAAAGAGTTCCACTATGGCGGGTGTCTGGGCACGAAAAATCGGTAAATTTAAAGATTAAAAAATCCACATTTTTTTCTAGATTTACCACAAAGCAGGAGTGCCTGAAAATGTGCCGCTACAAGCTGTTCAACCCGGTGGCCGTGCCCGGTAATGCAATACAAAATTTAAAAAAAAATTTCAAAAAGTCGACGTTGCAAAAATATGTTTCGGCAAGATAGCAAACACGCTTATTTTCTGTCATGGTAATCCGTGGCTTCCGGTCCTAAAAATTCAGCATTGAAAATCAGAAAATGGATACAAAAATAAAAATCATACAAAACCACAATTTTGTTTCGAAAAAATGTTTCGGAAAATTTGCTACTTTGCTTAATTTTTCCAATAGCACTATGTCGTTTGGAATGGTCATGGCCCACTTTTTTCGTCGAATCCAACTTTTTCAATACAAATAAGGGGCTCTCTTTGAAACGCATTTTCAAACTTCCTAAACTTCTGCACTTTACAATTTTCCATCAAAAATACAAAAACTATTGATTTTTCGATAATATGGTTGATTTCGGGCATTTCAGGGTTCTATAAGCTTTTGGAAATAGCTTTTCTAGCCGGAATCTAGCTTAACGTTACTAAAAATGCTATTAAAACACTTTTTATTCGATTTTAGGCATTTCTTGAGGTGTTAGAAAATTTAGATAGCCCCCCCCCGATAATGCGAAAGCTCCGAAATTTGATTAGCAAAAATTGTGATCCCTCTGGGATTTCTCTGGGAATTTCAGGCGAAAATTTTAAAAATTTAAATGTTTCACTAAAACCCATGGGATTTTTGAATTAGGTTTTGGTTGGAAGCTCGTTTCCAGAAAATATGCAGAATAAAAATCGAAACAAAAAAGCGAATCAATTCTGAATTTTTCAGATTTATGCCTTCTCGAGGTGGACCACGGCCATTGTCCCGACGACCGGAAAGGGCAGTGGTGGTAAGGGTTTTTTAATTGGGGAATAAAAATTGTATACCAGAAATAATATAAAATGAGAATTTGAATTTTAAATTTAGTATAAGATAAATAAATCGATATATAGGATAATTAATTTAGTATTCGAGAAAAACAATTAATATAAATGTATCAAAATCTAAAGCCGCCGGCTCAACTCAATGGCGAAAAAAATCTTTCAACACAGGGCAAGGTTCGGGCCCTATAGGTTATTCGTTAATCAACGTTCTGTCCTATCGCAAACCAAAATTTTATAAACTATAAAGACGTCATTTCTAAATTAATAAATCTTAATCTAATGTAAATGATATAAAATAACTTTTTTTGGATATAAAACCTGTGTTGAAAGTTTCTCACTAGCCAGAAAAAAATTGGCGAAAAGATGTTTCACCGCTTCTAGAGTTGTCAAGAAATTCTGTGCATACAATAACAGAAAGCCTTGCCGCAGTTAATTTATGGAAATTCTGATGATTCTGGATCACATTTAAATTTATTTTAACTTTATTTGTGTTTACATTGAGACGCTGCACTAAAACTTAAGAAGATCTACAGGGTGTCCTAATAAAAGCACGCTGGTATTTTACTATTTCCAAACTGATCGACTTGAAACTTTGCACAGAGGTGCGGAAGGGAATTCTAAAATGTCTACAGAAACTTTCAGCCCGATCGGTACAGTAGTTTTCGAGTTATAGCAAAAATAAACTTTATTTTACGTTTTTTACCTGGATCTGCCGGAATTGAACCCTGGAATGTATGGAGAAAATGAAGTGCCGACCCTTTTTATCCTAGATTTTTTTTTATTTCGCAAAATTCGGCTCGAAAATAGGTTATTTAAGTATTTTTTTAACAAGGGCTAACGACGCCGATGTTAAGAAGAATGAGGGATTTAGAGCCGGAAATTTATGTTAATTGATGCAAAGTCCAAAAAGATAAATGAAAAATGAAGCGGGAGTAGAGGGAGAAACAGTATTTTACAACACCTCGAAAACTACTGTGCCGATCGGGCTGAAAGTTTCTCTGTGAACATTTTAAATTCTCTTCCGCACCTCTGTGCAAAATTTCAAGTCGGTTGGATTGAAATAGCAAAATGCCAGCGTGACCTTTTTTTATTGGGACACCCTGTATACAAGGATATAGGTCTAGTTAAATCTAAAATGCTGCCTAATCCCAAATGATCTCTGCTAGCCTGCCTCACTCTCAGGTATTGGTTCAATCTGATTCTGGTGAATGTGAGAAGTTCTTCTACCACGGCTGCGGCGGGAACGACAACAAATTCTACTCGCTGCATCTCTGCTAAAAAAGTGGTGCCCAGCGGTTGTCGCCCCAGATTGGTATGTTGAAACGGGTACGGGATCGCCAACGAATTGTTTAACTAAAATTCCCGTTCAGTTTGGAAAGATTTAAAAACATTTATTTAGAAAATCCAGTTCTGGTTTGATAAACAAAAAATATGCAAACGAGCGAGCCGGAGAGATTCAATGACTGCAATGAAATATTGGCGGGCCATTTCAATACGACCGCGTTTGAAACATATTTTTTATTGTTAGCAATTTTTTATAACCTTCGCCCGGGTCTCTATTAAGAGCAATTATTTTGAAAATGTTCGATAACCAGTTAGAAAAATCGCGTCCTATTCCAAAAATTTGAAACAACATTCTGGAAAATTATTTCCCGGTTTCAAACGGATATCCAAGAGCTTAGGAAGGTGATATTACTTCGCCAAAAATTAGCTCCAAATATAGAAAAACTCTGAAACATAGTTTTTGAGTTCATTTTCTCGGCAAAGCCAAGCTAGCAGTAATATTAGGGAAAGACAGCATTTTTAGGATGTTCTGCCAGATTCTGGAAGGCATTAAATAACTTGCACGTGTGATTGATCTATGATTGCGATCTGACATATCTTTCCTTTTTAGCGATTTTTATACGAGTTTATTGCGGGCGTTGCATAACTCCACCGAATTAATAGTCGTTGGTCCAGGAATATTGCCAAGAAATTGCCAAGCTAAATTCGGAACACTTCGAAACATTATTTTTTAAATTGACTTAAGGGTACCATAAGGTAACTACGGGCAACTGTGCTCCCCAGCCGGAATCTTTTGCTATAACTTCTTATTGTACATTTTGTAAGCCCAAATTAAAACCCTAGTATATTTTTCGACGCTCTATCGAATGGCGTGCAAAAAAAAATTAAATCCCGACAAAAATAAGCGAAAATACCGAAAGCTTTGAGACCCTTCGGCTGAGGGGGAGGTCAAGGAAACCTCTACCCAAAACTTAAAAAATTAATACGCAACAAGAGAAAACTAAGAAGCAGGAATTTACGCTAAATTGCGACAAATTTGGAAACATGAAAAAGCCATGCTAGGATTCCTCGCATGGCAAAGTTTTTGAGACCTCAGGAGCGATCTATTAATAACTAGGAATTTACGTTAAATCTGAGAAATTTTTGAAACACAGTTCTTTTCAGCTCATCTCTCGGTCAGCCAAGGCAAACGAGCAGAAAATACGGACAGAAAATCGTATAATTAAATCGATAGTGGGTTAGAAAAATTTCCACTTTTACATTTAAAAATTTACACCCAAAAAAAATTTATATTTAAAAATTTACACCCACTTTTATCCGGCTAGGGATGAAACAGGTTTTCTGCGTTCTTTTGTGCATTAATTTTTGTGCTCTCCTGTTTAGCTCAAGGGCTCTGAAAATACACAAAAAATATCCAGAAATCCTTTTAAAATGGTTAAGATGTATATAATCTTTCTAAACGCTGCATGAATAAGGTTGGGATAAATAGCCAGTAGATGATTTCACGCGAACTTATTTTTAATTCCGCAAATTCGCTGGCCGAAAATCATGGGAGAAAAAATTTCTTAATTCGTTATTTTCGATTTTTTATATATATTTTACAGCCTGCAATGACTGCGACCTGCGCACGTCCTACTGTAAAAGTCACGGAAAGTACAACTACACGTGCGAGTGCCGCATCGGATACGAGAAGAATATGCATGGGGAATGTGTTGGTGAGTGCCAGATTTCGATAACATAATTGAAGAATATTATTGGTTGAATTTCCGATTCTTTCAGATTCACCGGTCAAACATTTATTTTTTTCTGGCAGTATTTCTAGATGAATTAACTATAATTAATTTTTAAATGGGGTTTCCGATTCTTTCATATTCGCCGGTAACACCTTTAATTTTTAATTTTTTGTGTGTAATTTCTCAAAAAAATATTTGGAACTATCATTTTAGCAGTTTTTTGTGAAACATGATTGACATGATTAATCAGGGAAATTGAAGTCAGAGATCAATGAAATATGATAAAACGGTCGAAATTTTGTATTACCTAATAAAATTTTTAAATGGAGTTTCCGATCCTTTCGTATTCATCGGTAAAAAAATTTAGTTTTAATTTTTTCTAGGCGCCATCTCGGATTCAATTACGTATATATTTCTGTAAT